TTCCCTATTATTACATGAATAGTTTTGAGTAGGCTAGGAATTTGACTTGAAAGACTGCTCATGTCACACTTCAGCAAACAGAGGCTCATGTCTTGGTATGTAACTTCTACTAAGAAAAGTCCAGATTACAGAATGAGTTCAGAATAGCCACAGCCCAGACTATGTGGAGCAGCTTGTGCAATGCAGATTTCTATAATGATAAATAATTTTATTAGGGGGCTCTAAATAGTGATCTCCTAGAATCAGTTGGGAGCCCCGTGCGTTGCAAAATCAGGGCCATGATCGTTACCGTAACGAGGTAGTTATTAACGCCGTAGCATTCTATTGTTTATAATGACAACCTAAAATTATATGAAAGTACTGTGTGATTTTGTTTTTTGTTCAAACATTGATTTCTGAAGATCCAATATAGGGAGAGATGTTGAAAATACCAGAAAGCTACAACTGTCCATGTGAAGTCCTTAAGTTTGTGAATGTCAGTTCATTAACACAAGATGTGCACTTCATTATTTCTTTATATTTTCAGTTTTTCTTTTAAATCAAACCAGTTTGATCCCCATGAAAAATTATTTTTGTTGAATACTATATCTGTTTTACCCATCCCGTTTTGCAGAGTCCCATTACAGCTTCATATCTATGTTTGCTTCCTGATTTATACAAACTTTGTTTTGCAGTTCATTGTTTCATCAATCCTTCTTTTCTACTCCATTTTGTCTTGCTTTATTTTCCCCTCCTTGTTTTTTTGTTTCTTTTTTTTGTTATTATTTTAAATTTAAGTTGGAAAACACACTGGATCGTCGAACATCTTTTGAGAAATTCACACGCAATGTGGTAAGTTTGTTGCCTCAGAAGACTAGTAAACCTGATTGGACATCCTTCTCCCCTCCCCTCACTGATCCCTGCTTTCCCTTTTTGCTTCCTTAACCTAACAGTTAAAAGTGTCTTTATCACAGTTTGTGAATTTTCCTAGGAATGACAGCTTTATCATGTGCTTCATTACAACCCCTCCTCCCTGGTCCCTTTTCCACTAACCTCAATAGTCACACATGGAGGAATGGACCTTTGGGAGCCATGCTTTTTGCATTAGGAAGCATGAAATTATTAACTTTTTCTTTTAATTATAGTAAAGAATTTGTGAAAACCTGCTTGATGTTCCTTTTTCTGGTGCCTCCCAAAATACTGTCTGACACAGTTTGTATACAATGGATTTCCCTTCTGTCTCCTTTTTATTTTACTAAAAAAAGAGTTTGTCCCTTTTTTTAAAATTTGGCACAGGATAAAATAAGCAATAATAATTCCTCTATCTTCCTTAATGTCTAGCACAGCTTCTGCAGGACCAAAGAATTCATGCTGATGATGTGCAAGGGTGGGATTTCATTTTGATAACAGAATATAAAATCTGATTTTTTATTATGTAATTTTCAAAAGCTATTTCACGAAGGTAAAAAAATGAAGGCTGGTAAATTTACTGTGGGCATTTTCTTGCCACCTGCCAAAAGATCCACTGATTTCCTGATATGTGGGATTCTTTTCACTTATCCAGTTTCTTTGGATTTTTTTTTTAACATTGTGAAAGTTCAAACTAAAGCATTCAACGCATTTATTTTTGTAGGGCAGAAACATCCCTATTTTCCCATGCCATAAAAACTGTACACCAACACTGAGGGCGAGCACTAACCTGTTATGAAAAGAGGTAGAAAGATCTTGGATTATACTCAAGTTTGTCCGCCTTGTCTGTTGACTTGTGCAGGTGACGCTGCTGTGTGTGCGTGTGCGTCCGTGGCTTTTTCTGTGACCTGGTTAGTAGAGCTGTGTCCGTTGAAATGGAAAATATGAGAGCTTTCAGCAGAAAGAGCATGGTTTTTGTTTTGTTTTGGTTTGGATTTTTTTTTGTTTGTTTCTAGGGAAGGAGAAGCAGTTATCAGAAACTGCCTCCTGGATAATAAGGCTCAAGAGTATTTCCTCAAGTATTTTTAAAAAATATATATACATTCTAGTAATCCAAAAGTGTAAAAAACACAGTGAAAGAACAAAGTTTTGTGTGGTTGTGGGAATAGCTCCCATGTAAAAACAAAACTGTAATTCTTTTAACTACTTTCTTATAGGTAAAGGCTTCCTGTAATATGCTTTGAATCCACTGTAATCAGGAAGAAATTTGGATTCAATGGGACAAAGTCAGTAAGGACATTAAAAAGTAAATAAACAGCCACAAAGGAAACTATCCCAGTGTTTGAAACAAAAACCCCTGTATTTTGCATGGTGGTGTTGCCATAGCATGTTGCGGTGTGATTTGTGTGTTGTCTAAGCAGGTTGATCTGTAAAACAACATTGTACATAATTACATTATACATGATAATTACACGGTAATGCCATAGGAAATTCCATATTAATAAAAGAGCTTATGTTAATAAAAGAGAGTGTAGAGAGTAGGTGGTATGGCTGGGACCTCAGAGCCAGGCTGTTTCCCAGTCTCCTTTTACCCCTCTCAGAGCCAAGTTGCTGGTAAACCAGCAGTTCTGCACACAGCCGGTGGATCATCATGCCAGTTTTCATCATGCTTATCTCAGGGCAGATGTACTAGAACAGGATGCCAGAGATGTGAGGCAGGCCCAATAAACCATCTGTGAGCTAGAAAGGGGAACGAGGCTTTCTGGCTGTGAAGTGTTAGTACTTCTTCAGTAGAAGAAGGCGAATCTTTTTTCATGGAGCAAGCTATAAAATAAAAACTGTGGGTTTGCTTTTCCTTCAGCTACTACCTGTGAATCCAGGTGGAGTCTGTCAAGTCGGGTCAGGTATGAAAGGAAAACATGTCACTGCTGGATCTCTATTCCCTATTAGATTGGCAGCTCTGAGGCTTGCAAATTAATCCAGAATGTCAGGATGTCCCAGTGCAAACCTTTTTCTCCAAGACGACTGAATTCACGTCACCCACTGCTCCAGGACCCCTTGCCACCAGGCATCTTTGTTCTTCCAGTCTTATTCTTGGTTATGATGAGTTTATAATATATAATTTATAATTATCTACCTTGGTGCAGTGGTTGCAACCAGCAGGGATGAGGGAAATGTTTCTCAGAATCCTCCAGTGGACTGATTAACTTGTTCAACTGTGAAGTGAGGTACTGTGCTATAGAGCTGTTCTGATTGATACGGAGAAGAGGTGTGAAACAGCTCTACTACAACCTGGATGAATGCTGTCATCTCTGAATGATTTAGTACAATAAAAATTACCATTTCTCTTCTCCTCTGATGGTTTAGAAAATTTAGACTAATTTTCACTGTTTGGTTGGTTTTTGTTTTGTTTTGTTTTGTTTTTCCACTTATATTAAAGTGAGTTTGTATTGAACTAAATTAGACCTAATTTTTTTTCCATTTGAAGTGTTTAAAAAAACCCCAGTAACCTTGACTGTGTCTAGGGACTGAACCTGGAAGATGACCTCATAATTCATAACCTGATTTATTATAAGAGAGATTATTGAAAGTGAGTTATACTTGCTACAGAAAGCATTTTTTGAGCTAGAAAGTTTAGAAACTTTGTAAGGGCAAACCCTCTCTACTGTTCCTTGAATTAAGTGGAAATAACCCAGTATAATGAGTCATTATTCTAGTCTGACAGGGGAAAAAATAAAAGTGGAGCTACAGACACAGAAAACCTCCTAGGCTCAGCTCTGCCTTCCTTTGCCATTGAAGAGTTTTCTTTCTAGAAGACTTCCAATAAGTTGGTGTGCTTTAGGAAAGCCCTACATGCTCAACTTAAAGACATTGGCTATTTAGCTTGCTCTGTAGATTTTATAGTGCAAAACTGCTAATGCCTTTGGCAGTCTGCAACCAACAATATGAAATAGTCTTAGAAATAGGTCTGCTGTCACATACAATATGGATAAATTGATTGCAAACTGGCATTTGCCATATGTAATAGTTGTTATCAAACACTTTATAGTTTGACTTATCTGTAGCTCCCCAAGGAAGTGAGTATTGAAGATAGAGGCGTAAGTCAGGGAGCAGGAGGTCCTCATTGCTTGCTACAGTAGTAGAGAGAGGGAAATCTGCTATGTCTGTGGCATTTTGAAACTGAAATTCTTTTAGGGAATTTACATGGCAAAAATACATAGTTTAAAAAAAAATCAAATTTAAACAATTCTGAAACTTCCTCTACCTCAAGTACAAAAATCTTCATTACAGAGAAAAAAACCCATGTGAATATGCACTTTTAATGTTGATGGGAACAAAGAGGTCCTTGAAATAAAACGTTTGCCTTTAATTCCCCATGTGCCTGTGGGATTTGTGATGGTGGCAGACTGGTAGTCTGAGTAGGACACCTTTGTGAGTGCTAGCCTGCTGCTTAGTTGTGATCACTAGTCTGGAAGCCTGAAACCGAGTGATCTCACTTACAGGGGAGTGGGCTAATTTCATTTCCACCCCATGCAATTTTTCTTGTCCCACCAGGAACCAAGTTAGCTGGGCAAAAATGTTCAGTGTCCCTCCTCAGAGCTGCCTGAGGGGAGACACTCCATCTTCACATGTTGGTGTCATGGCTTCAGATGCCACCATCAGTGTTAGTTTCATGTGTTACTGCCCGGTTATAGAGAAGGCAAAAAAATGTGCTTGTTGCAGGTTTGTGATGTTTTATGGAAATACAGACAGTACAAAACAGACCAAACTCAGTTCATATATTAAACTAGAGAGCCATCAGATGATAATTATCTTCACTCATAACCTCATAAACAAGACCCCATTTAACTCTGACTTTAAAAACATTATCTCTTACATTACCCATACCATTTCCAGCTATCTTCTCCTGCTTGGCTGGAAGAACTTGCTGACCAGTGTCCTTTAATATTTTTCCCCTCCAAACCAGTAACATTAGACCATTTCATGCATGACAGATGAAATGTGAAGGCCATTAAACACAGCACGTTTTCACAGAGGCTCAGTCCAAGGTCACTTAACATGACATAGCAAATTATGGTCTAGAGATGGAAATTAAAACCATAAAAATAGCTACCTCAGTTCTTATCAGTGAGGGACAGACTTTCTAGATGCTTAAACCAGTGCGATCTCTCATCATGTTAAAATCTTTAACATGTCCCTTTATTGGGAAACAAGGTAGATGACATATTTTCATCTGTTAATTAAGAAATTTTTCTGTATTAACAGTTAAAACTTATGTACACAAGACCCTACTATGCAAGATCAAATGTCTACCTAGCCCTGAAATCCCATAAAGGGTTATATTTTTCTCAACCATAGCATTGTGAATGAGTTTCAATGCAGTATGAGCTCTTGGATCTCATGTTTAATGTACAATCATGGAACAAATCCCAATAAAACTTTTGTTTACAGGTTATTCCTAAAACTTAAACAAAAAATTAGCTAGTCAGAAACAAAACCAAACAAAACGCAAAGCTTTTCATTTGACAAATACAAAGCAATAATAAAAATAAGTATTTGTAGAAATTAAGGCTTTTTCTGTTTCAGAAAGGATATGGCTTATTGATGTTTGACTAAGAAGAACTGAGGAAATAACTGAACTTTTTAGTTTGGACTAATAATTAGTCAAAAAGAACATCTGTAGAACATGCCAGTGAGGTCTGGCCTCCTTGTTCTGTTCTGCAGTGACTGGAGCTAAGCTGCTGTGCTCTGTGCTGGAATTGCTGAGGAGCAGCCATGTTCATCTAAGTGAGGAGCCAGCGCATACTGTTCAGATATTAGGCCAGTGCCTGCTATTACGCAGCTGACAAACATTTACCTGAGACTTAGGCTATTTGCAGGAATAACTGCAGAGAGGTATGGAAACCTGAGGGGTCAGGCCTAGGACAAACACACAAAAAATATTTGTCTAGTGCATTGGTGCTTTGGAATGTCTTACATGTTATCCCACACTTAGATGGTTGATCAAGTTCAAACTACCCTATCTAGAAAGAGTTTCTAGGTTAATCACAAATGAGAGCAGCTTATCAATATCACAGAATCAGAATCATTAAGGTTGGAAAAGACCTCTAAGATCAACAAGTCCAACTGCCAACCCAACACCACCATGCCCACTAAACCATGTCCTGAAGTGCCACATCTATATGTTTTTAGGCCTCCAGTGATCGTGAATCCACCACTTACCTGGGCAGCCTGTTCCGGTACTTGACTATTTCAGTAAAGAAATTTTTCCTCATATCCAATCTAACCCTCCCCTGGCGCAACTACCATTTCTGACTTTTTTTCCCAATTATTCTTTCATCTTATTAAGAAAGGAAATATTTTCCTATGTGTGATGACTTATGCTACACTTTTCAAAACTGGCCTGTTAGATTCAGTTTCTCAAATAAAAATTTGGCTTATGGAAATGCTATTAATATTGTATCACAAAGAAATATCTAAGCTTAGCTCTTCAATTATGACCCACAATGGATGAGCCTTACATCAGTCTGTAAATTGAGTAAAACTGGAAATCTAGAAGTTGCAATTAGGAAACTCTACCATACAGAACTAAAAGTAAAAGTATACCCTGGAACATAATTTGAAAGAAATATTCTGTAAACTGGAAAATAACAAATCTCTGCACATCTGAGTAAGAAGGTGGGATTTGGTGCTGCTATGGATTCTGTGTATTAAAAGCTTATTTTCCCAATCAGAGAGCTAAGTATCATTCAGAATGAACATAGAAGACCTCCTAATGATGGTGTATCTTCTAAACTGTCCCTTTTCCAACTACAGTATAAATTAGAACTACTAAGACCGGAAAAAGAGCATACATCGTTGTTGTTGTTCAGATGGAGACTTTATATTTATAACAGTGTAATATTCTATGAGGCTGGGAGGTGGAGGAGATGTCCATTTGGAGAAATCTTGATCCCTGGAGGGATTCAGAATAATTGTATCCAAGGGCCAGCAATATCCAGGGTGGAAGTGATGTAGAATACAGAAAAAAAATTTTCATGACATCTCACTGTGTCTATAGAGAAAAATTCAAATAAGATGTAGAATAAGATTATACAAGTTGGACCAACTAACTAACAATTAGTTTTTGACCTGCATTTAGGTCAAAACTTCCTTGTTTATGTGATATCAAAGTTAATTCCTGAGATGCTAGAATTTGGTTATAGTCCACCTAAAAATTCCAGGGAGTTTACAATTCCTTAATAATCAATTGTTGCAGATATGAATAAAAAAAATATTTCACAGATCTTACCCCACTGCGGCTTTCCAGTGTGGTATTCAGCAAACTGTTTTAATAACTAATAGAGAGTTCCTGGTTTAATTGTTTTAGTTAACTGGATTATGCAGTTCAGTCCTAAAAGGAACTCAGACATATTTGGGTATATGTATAAGTGAGGCCTGTAGACCTGTAAAATTAAGCTCAAATAACTTAATCAAAGACAAATAGAAGTGTTTGCTCAGTATTTTCCTAGAATATGTCCAAGGCTGATAACCATGAATCACCTAACAAAACATCTGATTTTGGACATACTCTTTTAAATTGTATCCCAGTGCCACACAGCTGTTGAGACTTTTTTGACTATTTAAAAAGATGCCTTGCTACAAAAGCTTACCTGTTACGTTAGAGGAAAACATAAGCTAAGGCTTAACAACTGTCAAGAAGCTGTGAATTTAATGTAGGTAGGAAGTGACAGGGTTAAAGCTCAGCACAGGGAAGAGAGTGCACCATGAAGGGCACTTTGTGTCTTGCGCACTTTCTGTCTTGTGAAGAAGCAGCAAGTATTAACACCCTCAGGTGATGTGGTGAACCTGATGGATGAGCAACAGATTGCAGATCAGGAGTTCCCTTCACAAGTACATCATAGAGGAAATATTCATCCTAATTTGTTCAATGTGTGTTTCAGAGCAGAAAAAATAAAACCATTATTCTTCCTTTTGTGAAGAGCCACTCTGCTATATTGCTTCTAAGCAAATGCTTGAAACCAATTTGCAGATCCCTGTGAGCATAAATGTAATTGATAATGACAACAAATACTAAATTACATAATTCCACTGAGTTGTAATACAGCAGATGACTTAACAACTCATTGATATGGCAGAATAAGTTCATTTACCATTTACTGCAGAAAGTGTAGCATCTCTCCATAGTTACAGTATTTCTTACTGTAGTCTCCCTGAAATCAGTTTGATTTTTCTGTGTGCACTTAAAATGAACAATACAATAAATGTAAGTATTAAATATCTAGCTGGAGAGTTAGAGCCACTTTCTATTCAATGTTTTATGATCTATTATTTGTGTCACATTATCAGAGTATGCCCATGGTACTTTAAGGAGACATGTAAGCTTGCTGTGCCAGCTCTGCCTCTGTTGGATCAGAGCCACAGTGGGATGGCCCCAGGAGAGCTAACTCCTTTCATGTGGCCTTAGGAGAGCTGCTTCCTGTTAATGTGGTTTCACAGCTTTTTTTCTAGCTCAGATAAAGCCCAAATCTGCCTGAAATATAGCCCAGTGACATACCCTGCACCATCCTTTTCATGCTGTAGACCTAACTCATGTGGGACAGTCATTATACCTTATTAAAAGAACTTGCTAAAAAACTGAAACTGCATCCTTGCAATGGGAGGAAAGTTGAGGGAAATAACAATGTGGAAATGCAAACATCTTCAAAGCAGCATTATGCAGTCACATGTAATATAGCTGACCAGTGTTCCTCATAAATAGTAAATATGGTCTCAGCAAACCGGTAGCTGTGTTCATGAAAAAGCTGCTTTCCTGCCTATATGCAATCTGCCTCTTACTTCTTTACCTTAACTGTAAAGTAGCCTTTTGTCTTCTGTGACAGAGCTACCACAGTTTGCACATTCATCTTTGCAGCATGAGGCGCCCTGGCTTGTAGCAGCCTTCTCCAAGTTCTGGTATGACCGACAGCAAACAACCTCAGCCTTAGCTTCTCATTAGCCAAACCCAATCTCATTCAGAAATGGCCTTTAAGCTTGCTGGCTTACTCTGTGAAACAACCTGGCAGTGCAAGTGTTTAAGCGTACGGGGTTCCAGTGGTTTAAGATTTGACAGACTCCAGTTGGTGCCCCTAGTTCTGTGACAGTGATGTGGCAACGCTAAATGGTTGCTGATGAACAGGTTTGCAGTGATCATGCCTCTGTTTTTCTGTTTCTGTTTTTTTTTTGTTTTTATCTTTTCCTCAGGGGAAATCGCTCACATCAAAGAGGTTAACCAGTCTAGTGCAGTCCTACTAAAAGGATCACCTTGTAGCATGGAAGCAGACTCAAATCATTATACATACTTTGTAGCTCACTGATTGCCTGACTCAGAGGACAGTAGAACAAGATGTTGCATGAGCAAGGACCTGACTTGTTTTCTTTTGTGTATACTAAGGCATTACAGACTCCGAGGGACTCTCTAGCCTTTCGATGCCTCCATTTTGAAAACTGTCTGCTCACTTCCTCCTTCATATCAAGCTGGATCTGTGTCTTTTTATTTTCTGCAAGCTCAAGTACAGTGAAAAAAAAGCTTCTGCTAGGCACAGTTTATTAAAAAAAAATACGTCAATCAAAAACTGGAAGAAATGTAAAAAATGCATATATTAATAAATATACATATGGCATCACATTTATTGCACAATAAATTAGCACAGAAGGTTTCATTTCACTGATGTATTCACATTGAGAAAGAAAGCCTGTGTCTTTGTCTGTTGTCTGTATATTCTCTGTTAATGTTTCTTGCATTTATTTTTATACCATATTTAAAAAAGAACACCTTTTAATCCAGATGTATTAAAGTTGATCCTTTCTCTGTAAATTTGTGTATGTTTATATTATTGTTTTATCTTTCATTAAAAGATGCAGAATCTCTTTCCTTTGGGAAGTTTGAGATTTTAATATTGAATCTGAAGATTAGCCAAGAGCAAAACCCTCCTCAAAAGTAACACACCTTGTGCTTTCTAAAAAGTTACATGAAATGGCAATTTCTTTCTCTCAGTGACACCTAATCAAACACACTATTGATAACCATTTACTTTTCATTATCTTTCTAGCAAGCTAGCAACAGCAAGACCTTTCCAGCTTGCTTATCATCACATAAGCAAAATTTGTTAAGCTTAGACCCCTTTTGTAATGGTGCAGCCTGCACAGCAACTCAGTCACTGCCCAAGACTGGCTCGACTGAACCACATTTCCTTAGGAAGGGACGTGGACGAAGCTGGCGGAGAACACAAAGTGTCGGCTTGCTAAATGGGAAGGACAGTGTTTCTAACTTCTCATTGTCACTTGGTGATAAAACGCAACGGTTTAAGCTCAAAAGGTAGTGGTTTGGGAGTGCCAAGTATATTGTCTGTAGGGCAAAGTTTGGGTAGTCGTGCAGGAGGCTGTGATTTTAACTCAAGGGCTCTATCCAGGTGTGCTGTTGTTTGCTTCTGAGGTTGCACAGAGATCTATTGAGAGGTTTATGAGTTTTGTTTTATAAGTGTATAGATGTTGCCTGTGGGACAGCATATGTAGGGCTTCTGAAGCTAATTGGAGCTGGAAGCAGAAAGCTCTCCTTGGCCTGAGCAGCAGCACTTTTCACTATTAGAGGTGATGTAAGGATAGGAGGCAGAGTCTCTTGAGTACAAAAGTGATGATGGGAACTAAGTCAAACGACAAAACGCTGATATCTCCAGGCATCATAGGATGCACAGAACAAACAAGCCTTCTGAGCAATGCACAGGATAGACTCAGGATGGCCAACTCTAGTACCATCTGTCAGACTGACTTTGCTTTGATATTGATAAACAGGAATCCTGTTTCAAAGGGACTACCAAACCTACAAATGCACAATCATAGACATAACCAATAAATTTGAATGCGTTAATGCTAGAGTAATCCATTTAACATGGGATGGGGATCCAGCACAGAGTGGCCATGGGTAGAAGGGAGCTGAGCTTCTTTCTGCAAGGAGCATTCTCTTTTCCATTGGCTTTGTCAGCAGCTTGAGGCAGCTCTAAAGAGTCTGAATGAACCTAGGACAAAACACATAATAAATCACCATGAATGGCTGTTCTCCATTGCGTTTTGCTCAGTTGGGGTTCCTGAAGGTTGAGATTTTTTTATTTGCTTGTTTTCAGATGCCACTATATTTCTGTTTTCAGGCTAGGATGATAGTCACTGCTTTAAAGTGTCTCAGGTTTTGTTAGCACAATTCTACTATGCTTTTATCAGAAAATGCTGGATATGTCCCATGAGAGCTTGATTTTATCAAGAGCTCCATCTAGGTCAACTCAAAATATTCACAGTCTAGGGAGGCCAGATGAATTTTGATAAATAGCCACATTGAACCCCAGATCTTAAACTCTGAGATTTAATTTTCCTTTACCACAGAAATGCAAGCTCTGAGATATGAATTTGGGGCCAGGCAATCCACAGAAATTTGAGCTCTGTTTCACTTCTTAGTGCCAAATAGAGTTATTTATTTCCAAACTCCTGCTGCCACCAATTGCATCAGCTGGTACATTGCCTGCTTTGCCTTAGGAGTTAACTAATTAGCTACCAGTGTCTGCTTTGAAGAGTCATTCCCTTCAAATAACTAATGCATAATTCATGCATTAGGCATTTCATACAACTTTACCCTAAGAATTTTTTTTCCAAATCACTTTGCAACACCAACTGGCCGATAAGAAAATGTGGAGCATTTGTATTCCTGAACCCATTTTGTACTTATTCTAGTTTTTTCCTTTCAATAAGTAAGAAATCCCTTTCCCTATATTTGCACAGGATTTAACACAACGTCTGTAAAGAAAAAAACATGCACTGCTAATGAGGGTTTCAAAGTATTCAGGAAGCTGTATTAAGATTTCATTTGAACTTAGTCTCAAGTCATGCAACTCCACTGTTGCACATGAATGAATTTGGCCCAAACAAAATCTATCCTACAACCAGTTGATTTTTGAACGGTTTGTCTGCAATCTTTTATACTTTACCTGATCACTGTCATCTGCCAGTGTCGCAATACTGGTACTGAAAACTCCAAGGAGACACAAATATTCTTCTATTTCTCCACAAAGAAAAGCTAAATGTTTGTTTGCGAATATAAATGAAGATCCACTTCCAAGAATTAAGATTAACTCAGATTCAAGCATGTTTGTACAACCACCAAACAGCTGAAGGATGACTTTGGTTACACAATCATATAGCCATTCCTTAGGAATTTCAGTGAGGCCACAAATGTGCTGAGGAAAAAAATGACTGAGAGAGAAACCCAGTCTGAAGGGACCATATTTCTTGTTTCCTGGAGAAGAGCCATCAATGCCTCAATGCCAATCAGTGCCTCCTGGGTCTGCCCAGGAAGCTGAAAACAGCTCCCATTGGGGGGTATTAACTGTAATATCTGTTAAAATAACCACTTGGAGCTGGGAACTTCTGTCTGAGAGCAGGGGTTCATCAGACAGTATCTTACTTCATACATCCTTGTGCTTAAAAGAAATCTTAAACATACAGGGGAAAGAAGTATCTGTGAGTGCTGCTGCACCCTTGAGATAGTTTTGAGCTCCCAGACTAGCCTGGAAAGGATAATGGCTAGTGGGAGAGATGGGAGCTTCCCTGGCATCTACCTGACAAGAACAAAATATTCACCTATTCTTCTTTAAGGTGAAATTGAAAACTCTCCTTCAACCCTACAAAACCAAAGAGGGAAGAATAAAGGCCTTAAAGAGTGATGAGAGAAATTGCAAAGTGCTGAGCTGAAACAGTAGTGGAGACTGACCACAAATTAATGAGCTGAAGTTGAATATGGAAGTAAGAAATGGGAATTAATTGTGGTGACCAGAACAGAACAGACAAGGGAGGAGAACTGGGGAACTGAGTAATTAAGAGCAAGAAAGGCTGAATGCAGCTGGTGGATTGCCAGCCTGTTGGCCATGGCCATGTGGAAATGGAATCAAAACCCAGAAAAATCAGACCAGACCAGCTTTAAGACCCAGAAATAACTTTTTTTTTCAGCTAGAAAGGAATTAATGCCAAGTATCTAGAATTGCTTTTTTTAAATTGCAGCCTTAATGGTGTTTGAAATCATGAGACACTAACACCAAATAGTACCCCAGGAAATAACAAACTGGAGGGCAAGAACTAGTTCCAGAAAATGAGACCTATAGGAATGCACTTAGGATATTTTATTAATTAAAAAATCATAAAGCCAAAGTAGGCAACTAAAGTGAGGGAATGCTGTTTCCTTTAAGTAACTGGAACAGGGATTTGGGAATGCCCAGTGATTTATTTGTGGTGCTTCCAACTTTTTATCTTTATGCCAAGTGATTAACAGCTGTTTGAATTCAGCTATTAAAATTACCATATTATTAATGTCCCTCCTAGCTAGAGATGTTGTGCATAGAACTAACACTGTACTTATAACATAGGAGAATAAAACACAGGAATTTTGCTAAAAGAAAGTTAATGGCTATAGGGACCTATATAAAATAAAGTTTTAATCCCAAGATGTTAAAGAGAAATCATCAACAACTTCTTTGAACATATTCTATGTCCACAGTTCATTTATGCAAGTGACTGACTGGTTGTGAATAACACTTATCTGCCTTTTGATCTGACTGTGCCGGACAGATTAATGCTTTTGTCTCCTGTGAGTTGAAGATAGGCTGAGGTCCCAATATCAAAGAGGTGGCAGGAAAGAGCGGATGATTTCTCTGAGGCTCCCCCTCCTCATGCTGTTCTGGGCTGTAGAGTCTTCAAGTGATGTGTGTACAAATAAATGTGTTTCTTTGCACAGACATTGGCTTGAGGACTGCAGAATCTCTACAGACAGTCAGTATCTTTGCTGCTACAAAGTTGTTTTTTTTCCCCTAATATCTAAACTAACTCTTCTTTGCTTCAATTCATCGTTTTATTTTTGACGAGGCTGCTACGATCACCATAATAAAATGCTCCCTACCTTTTTGCTCAACTAGGTCAATGGCCATTGCAACGTTATAGCCTAATTTGGTTTTCTTACTAGTTTTTTCTGAAGCATTGAGTGACTTGATTTTTCTCCTCTGCGCTGGGGGCTGTTACAGCTTTCCTGGAGGACCCTAGGTCCTCTCACCCAGGTTTTATGGGAGGACAACAGAGGACTGCTGTTGTCCATCTGTCTGTACACTCAACTATGGGGCTCACCCTTTTTGCAGTAGATGGCTACTACTGAATTGTGCCAGCTCATGGTGATGCCCAAATCCTTTGCAGTAAAGCGTTGCTGACTCTTCTTGGGTCAGCGAGGTGTCTTCAGCTGCCCGTTTAGCAGCATCTTCATTTTTCAGACCATCTTTCTCTTTTCCCAAGGTCACTTTTATTTTTGATTCTAACCTGTGAAATACTTATAATCCGTTTACCTGCTGGTAATTCTGTGTGGATGAGAGCAAGGATTCTTTAATACAGACGCACGAATGAGAGTGAGTGGCAGCATCGCTATGTGCCATAAGAGATCTGTGTGTATGTAAACTGTTAGGAGAAATTGCCATGACAATAAACTTAGAACCTGCTCAAATGCTAGATGATAATCCTTATTTACAAGTG